TCTGTCTGTCTGTCTGTCTGTCTATCATCTATCTGTCTGTCTGTCTGTCTATCATCTATCTGTCTGTCTGTCTGTCTATCATCTATCTGTCTGTCTGTCTGTCTATCATCTATCTGTCTGTCTGTCTGTCTATCATCTATCTATCTGTCTGTCTGTCTGTCTGTCTGTCTGTCTATCTATCTATCATCAAGTGTCAGGTTGATGTTGATCTCTCCAGGCACAATGCAGGCTATGGCTTCGTGGAGCTGATGGATGAGACATCGGTAGAGCGATGCCTCCGCAAAGTGAATGGAAAACCTTTACCTGGTGCCACTCCTGTAATTATTCACAAGTCACTATTATGCTCACATTAGGTGCCGACCAGTTCATATGCAAAATATCAGAAAATTTCATACAGTAAAATGTTACACTGTACTATCATAACCTTTAATTATAATGTGATGTTACAGCCGAAGAGGTTCAAGTTGAGTCGTGCCTCCTACGGCAAACATGACAGCTGGTAAGAAATAGCTTCTGAAATGACTGACTGGTGCAATCAAGTACAGCAAGCAACCAACTATTCAAAGAACATCCTGTGTGGACAGAAAGAGGAAGTGAAGCTTAGATATACATATATCATTGCAAGACTGTATTTGTGAAGGATGCATATAGAAGATCAAGTGTTCTCAACACAGCAGGCTTTAATAAACCTACAGTCAGAATTAACAGTAAAATCTGACATGCAGCTTCCAGAAGCTTTTGAGCTCAGGGTTTCGTTTTTTTATAAGAATTTTATTTTAGTTGTAGTCTCAGATAGGAAGTGGTCATCAGTAGACTGTCCACAGGTGAAAATAGAGTTCAATCAACTAAGTAAAAGTTAATTAATTGCTGTAGATGTGTTAATTTAGGAGAATAACTCAATGTGGTTTTTTACCTTGATCTATCCATTATAATGGATGTTCTCAGCGCTGCCTTACTGCTGTTCCCTACAGCTCTACGTTCTCCCTCTTCGTGTCAGATCTCACCCCAGACGTGGATGATGGCATGCTGTATGAGTTCTTTCATTATCATTTTTCATCCTGCTGCAGTGGGAAGATAGTTCTGGACAGCAGTGGATACTCAAAGTGAGACCTGTCAAATGTTTTCCTCTTCATTTCCAGACATTTCCTTCTGCTGATTGCTGTTGTTTGTAGGTGCTGTGGCTTTGTGTGCTTTGAGAGCGAGAGAGAGCAGAGACGGGCTCTGGCAGAACTCCAGGGTGCCTCAGGACTCGGGAAGAAACCTTTACGCCTCAGTCTGGCTGCAAATAAACTGTGAGTGTTGGTAAGGAGAGGAAATGATGTGACGAGGGCTTTTACATCAGAGTGATTACATTTGTTTCTCTTTGCTTTCGATTAAAAATTACACTACTGTTTAAAAGTTTGGGGTCAGTAATTTTTTTTTTTTTTTGAAAAAAATATGAACAGTTTTATTCAGCAACAGCACATTAAATTAATCAAAAGTGACAGTGAAATTATTCATAGATTTCAGTTTCACTAAATGCAGTTCTTTTGAATTTTGTTCATCAAAGAATCTTAAAAGTATAACAGTTTCCACAAAAATATGTATGTTTTCAACAGTGATAATAATCAGACATTTTTCTTGAGCAGCAAATCAGCATATTATTATGATTTCTGAAGGATCATGTGACACTGAAGACTGCAGTAATGATGCTGAAAATTCAGCTGCGCATCAAAGTAATAAATTACATTTTATGAGATATTCACATAGAAAACAGTTCTTTTAAATTGTAAAAAATATTTCACAATATTACTGTTTTTATCAAATATTTTTGAACAAATAAATCCTATATAAATACTGTTCGGTTTCTGGCACAAACCGATTGTTTCGTGTCTTAGGACATCAATGTGTCGTCACGAGCCGTAGGGTTTAATTTGGATTTGTCTGTGCATGTTTTTTTTTACTCTCATAGATTTTGTTACCATTGCCATGCATTTATACGACTGACAGACTGCAACGGCTGGAGTTAAAAATCATCAAATGTATTCTACTGAAGAAACAAAGTCACCTACATCTTGGATGCCCTGGGGGGAAGCAGATAAACATCAAATTTTCATTTTTGGGTGAACTATCCCTTTAATGAGCATAAGAGACTTCTTTCAAAAACATAAAAAAATAAAAATCTTACTGACCCCGAATTTTTTAATGGTATATGAAAATTACTCCGTGTAAAGAGTAGTGAGTGAGGTCTGTAGCAAAAGTTTAATGAGGAGTCTATCAAAATACATAACCTCAAGTACTGTTTGAGCGATACATACAGTTTTATCACAAAACAAATTGACATTAATGTGTCTAATCCTCCCTCTACTAGGAAGAAGAAAGAGTCGCCTGAGAACCAAAATGATCACCTCCATGCAGAAAGCTACAACAGCCATAATTTGTATTTGAACCAGTGCTATTACCCACAGTACGCCAGCCATTTGTCTACATATGACTGGAGCTATGATTACAGCTACTTAAACCCTTCCCAGGACATCGCACAGGTACATGCGGTTTTATTTCTGCAGGGCTTTTCAAGTCACACCAAATGTGCCTGAACCAATCATTTTAAGCATTAAATTCTGTTCCTATTACTGTCAGCGGTTCATTATCAGTTTATCAGTTTGCATAATTATATTCAGTATTCTTTGCCTCAGTGTCTACTAAATTTGAATTTAAAAAAAAAAGTTTTTTATTTACCATTTTTGTAACTGCAGGGCGAAGAGATGGAAGATGACGGCCTAGAGTGTAAGTTTAGATCAGACATTTATTTATTTTTTACTCCGTGGGCTCTGTTTTCCACAGATGCACTTAACACAGCTTTTAATTGTAGCATGATATCATCATAATTACACTCTGCACCATATAAAAGCGTTGATTCCAGTAAATGACGTGTCTTACGCCTGTGTGTTGTAGATCCAGACTCGGAGATGAATGTGATGGAGGCAAATGAGAGCTTTATGGAGCAGAGTGAAGAACTGTACAGTGCTCTGATGGGTTGCTTCTTCCAGCCCCCTGAGTCATGGGACGGGGTCACCTGTAACGCTACATGTCACCTGCCAGAGCCAGTTTATCAGTATGAGGAGATGGACTGAGCATATTTGTTCATATTTACTTTTTGTTTATATTACAAAGAACCAATTATTAAGGTAACTGAATAAGATGAAGTTGATTTTTTTTATGTATAAATGAAATGAATTCAGGTTTGTTTATATATATAAATACACAGAGGTTCATAATAATAAAATATCAGTCGTAAATAATAATAACAACATGAAATAAAATAAGACTTATTTATATAAATTCAATAAGATTGAGAAAGAGGCTTGTATAGTGTCACTAGTTTAAAGTTCAGTTACTTCGGTGGGATTTTGGGGTGTTTCTGTGCCATCACGTGCTCTTGTAGGCTCTGCCCCTGAGCGGAAGTACAAAGTGCATCAGACCGGAAGTCCCGAGTGAGGAGCGGCCCCGAGCTTGTGTAAGATCGTTATATTTCTTCATCAGAATTAGCAAAAACAACGCGACGACTGCGTTTATATTTATTCCGAATGACTCTGAAAGCGTCTCTAGATGTCAGACGAGGTTAAATGCGGGTGGTCTAATGCAGCATGAGGCGTTTTCTGTCCGTTTAGTTTATGCTAATGCCGTTGACGGGTGTTGTTTTGTGTTGCAACGGGGTTTTGTTTGCGTTGTAGTTTTCTGTGATATTTAAGAGTAAACCAGTCCGATGAGTGTAAATAAACAAAACATGATTATTTAATCACGAAACAGCAGTTTCCAGCGGTATTTTGCTGTAGTCCGAGTGTTTAGTTGGTGAGCTGACTAACGTTAGCCTAGCATTCACTGATCTGGGGTCAGTTATGACTGACATGACACAGTTTGTCTTTATCATTGTCCTATGTTCACTTAAAAAGAAAGAAGAGTCAGAGAGCCTCTAACACGAGCATTCTCTATTTTTCTATTCTTTTGACTTGTTTTATTCTTATTTTAAAAAGTCCCTCTAACACTAGCGTGCCCTATTCAGTTGTCTATTCTATCTACTTGTTTATCTTTTTACTTATTATAAAAAACACCTTGCTACCCGTACTGTGTTAGGCTAACCGAGACTTGTCACAGCACTCACTGTATATATTATTGTCCTTTTTGTTGGGTTTGATTGCTTCTATTTGTCCTCATTTTGATAAAAGCGAGTGCTAAATGACTAAATGTAAATATATAATAATGGTTATTTACATATATCATTTAAGGGCTTATTCTTACATAAATAACCGTACTAGTGCTCACTGTTACTGCAGGTCGAGCTAAACTGTGTGTGATGCTGGTGAAGTCTGTGTGTTGAGACTGTAATATGAGTAAGCACGTAGTTTGACACCACATTGTGTCTGTATCATGTTTATGTGTCTCACACGCATGTTAATTTAGTACTTTACTGTATTAATGATCAACTTTTAGCTCACCGTCACAGCAAGTGAAAGTAGTGCAGTCAGTACACACTACAGTACATAGGCTTTAAAGTGCACACTCGTACCTCGATTAGTGCTCTGATCCACACTGTTTACCGTCATGATGTGTTAGGCTGGTTATCTAATCATTGCCAGGCATATATAAGGTGATGTTACACACTGTTCCTCATACTTCAAGTCAAATGCACAAGGAAACTGTAATGAAATAGGCATTATAACGTCGTTGTAATATTATTGTGCATGTTCTGACAAAACGTTTCTCTCTCCTCAGCATTTTTAGGCACTGATTCGCTTCCTGCTCTAGTTTCCTCCACCCTTTGTCCCGAGACGTCCATCAGAGCCAGCTGAATTTCCCGCAGTCATGTCGTACGGAAGGACAGAGCAGCGCGCCCCGCCAAAGGACTTCAGCAGCCTCATCCAGACATGCAGCTCCAACATCCAAAAGATCACACAGAACAGTGAGTGTCTGGATCTGTGCTGTTCATTACTGTGACGTTGATCTGAAAGTGCTAGTTAGTAGCACTAAAGATACTACCAGGGGAGTACATCGGATCAGCTTGACAATTTAGTGGTGATTTAGCTCTGCATATTTTATGTAAAGAAATGAAGCCCGTTTTAGGACCATTAGGATTTTTGGCATTGTGATTTGTTTCGTGGTACAGAAGTAACTGCGCTTTTTCAGTGGCCTTTGTTCCCATTTTCTCAGTTGTTTCCTCCATTGGGATTTGAAATTTGTTAAGGAATTCTGATCCATGAAACAAGTCAGCCAGCTCTGAGATTATTATGTGGTGGCTCATAATAATCTCTGACTTGTTGAGACTGTCAGCACTGCTGTTCAGAGGATTAGTGTTGGTAAGAATTAAAAAAAAAATGTTTGAAAGTCACTTATGCGTTTATTTAATCCAAAATGCAGTAAAACCGTAATATTGTGAAATAATATTAAACTGTGATACACTACCATTCAAAAGTTTGGGCTAAGTATGATTGAAAAGAGAGAAATTAATACTTTTATTCAGCAAGGATGCATTAAATTGAGCAAAAGTGACAGTAAATACTTTTAATGTTAAAAAGATTTCTATTTCAAAACGAATGGTGTTCTTTTTCTATTCATCAAAGAATTCTGAAAAAAAAAAATGTTGTGGATTCTACACAAAATATTACACGGCAAAATAGTTTTCAACATCGATAATAATAGGAACCATTATTCATAATTGAGCACCAATAATAATCAATAATAAGTTAACACCTAATCAGCATATTATACTGATTTCTGAAGGATCATGTGACACGAAAGACTGGAGTAATAATGCTGAAAAATCAGCTTTGATCACAGAAATAAATTACATCTTAAAATATATTTAAATAGAAAAACATTCTTCTAAATTGTAATAATATTTCACAATATTACTGTTTTTACTGTATTTTTCTCAAAAAACAACTGCAACCTTGGTGACAATAAGAGACTTCTTTCCAAAACATTGAAAAAAACTTAATTCAAACTTGTAATTTATTATCATTCAAAATGTAATTTATTCCTGTGATGCAAAGCTGAATTTTCTGCATCATTCATTACTTCAGTCTTAAAAATCTTTTTTAGCCTTATAAATGTCTAAACTTTCACTTTTGATCAATTTAATACAAACCTTGCTGAACAAAAGTATTACATTTTCAAAAGGAAAAAAACACCAGCACAAGTCATGGATGAATAATCGGAACTCTTAATATTATTAATGGGATTAATGGGATTTTGTTTCTGATTAATTGTATTGTTTTTTTTTTTTTACAGACTATTGCTCTCTATTCGCATTACTGATTTAACTTTTTCTTCTTTTCTTTTACACAAAATATTATTTATTGTTTTGTATTTCTGTTTTGATGTCACATATGATTTGGACATTTCTTCATGAGAGTCACAGTATTGTCCTCATATGTCTGCTGTGGAAATCCTGCACTGACTTTAAAGACTCTGATTTTAGTGTAAATGTGTGTTTTTTTACATTAGCGGCACAAATCAAGAGCATGGTAAACCAACTGGGAACAAAACAAGACACCAGTGACCTGCGGGAGAGACTGTGAGTGTGTTTAGTTTTTGATTTATTTATGGCTGTGCATTTCCTGTTCCTCTTGTGCTCTTGTATTCTCACTATGTGTGATCTGTTTACAGTCAGCAGGTGCAGCACTACACAAACCAGCTGGCCAAGGAGACCAACAAGCACCTGAAAGACCTCGGCTCACTCTCTCTTCCCGTCTCCCTGTCCGAACAGGTGCGCTTGTGTGTGCATGCTCACTTTTAACCTCCACAGAAACGTGTTTACATGAAGCATAAGGACATGCAAATAAAAATGGGAAGGTCATTTAAAGGTGCTGGTGAAGTTCTTGTAATATTTTGTCTGAATGTCAAGTCTAACTGGTTGAATTTCTTCTTTAAACAGAGACAGCAGAAAATACAGAAGGACCGGCTGATGAATGATTTCTCTGCAGCTCTCAACAACTTCCAGGCAGTGCAGCGTCGAGCCGCAGAGAAGGAGAAGGAGTCAGTGGCCAGAGCCCGAGCAGGGTCTCGACTCTCAGTAAGATACACTCTAGAATTAATGTTTTCCACAGTAGCTCTGATCCAGACCTTAGTGAACTGTCTACATAGGCAGCATCCTTAAAAGTGAAATGATAAGCTTACAACTCTGTACTTAAACCCAAAAATACCTTATACACAAATATTTGATGAAATGGATCATTTCCATCTAGGGGTAGGCGATATGACAAAAATATATCATAATACGATATCCTATTCAATTAATTTATTTCAGAGAGGATCACGATCCACAATCTTTATCAATTCTTTTTCATGTTCATTTTAAGACTATTTTGCAAGTTACTGAGCAGTACATGCAAACTAATTTCCATATTTTAAAAACATATAGCCGTGAAAGGTAAAAAACTAAAAAAGCATAAAAGAAAAAATAATGACAGACCAATTAGGTCAAGGAAGGGGTGGGCGATATGACCAAAATCTTATTTCACTTTTTATTTCATTATTTTATCATTGATATTAAAATAAAAACAAATATACAAATTACAAACAATAGGACAAATACGATATAAAAAAGATACAAATGAAATTAACAGCTTGTAACACTTCAAAGAGAAAGAAAAAATTGAAATCGCATCATATGACCCCTTTAACATTCATGTAAGAAATTGAATAATCAAATGTAAAAATGAAACCCTTCATAGTCTCATAGTCTTAAAGATACACTGATTCTGAATTGAAACTACAAATGTTATTCAGTCGAGCAGTGAGTCAAGCAGCATGTATATTAGGCTGCTGTTACTTTAAGACCTAATGCACAGATCCAACATACTGATATAAATGTGTCTTTCCCAACTGTTTGTTCACTTAAAACACAACTGACTGTGCAGTGTTTCCCATGCATTGGTTTATTTGTGGCGGCCCGCCACAATATCAATGCTGACCGCCACAAATAGATTTTCCAAAATGCATTGACTTCGTTGAATAAACATGAGCACTGCACGTTTCAAAGTCAAAACGCAGCGCTGGTGTTTTTATATGAATGTATCTTTGAAGGGCATTGACTGTCTTTAGAAAAGTTTCGATGTCATTTTCATTTAATCTTTCCTATAACGCCTGATAAAGCAGCGTTTATGAGCGGAGCGCTGTTTTGATTACAGCCTTTACCAGGGAAACCGCTATTTCTGATGCTCCTAACTCGCCTCCTGCTGGCAGAGAATGAATGTGCATTTTCAATCAGCGTGTCTGCTGATTTATATAGCCTATATTTCCCCCGGGAAAGTGCCGCCACACATTGAGTGTAAGTCTGTGGGAAACACTGCTGTGTTTATGTGAACATTGTGTTTTTAACATAATTGTATGTGTTTTTTACTGGCAAGGCTTTAAAACACATGCAAATGATAAATGTTTGTGTTGATGAAGAACTTCAGTGTCAATTGAATGTAACCGTGATAGAGATGATAATCAAAAACAATAATAATAATAAAAACAAGCCTTAGAACTGCAACTGATGAAAATGTGCACTGTAATAACATTCTCTCTGTATAAACAGATTGCAGAGACATTTTAATCATTCACAATCTAATGTTGTCACATTGCACACCCTAATTTCCATCTAATCAAAAATACTTTTTTTTTTTTTTTTACTGAATATAATATAATATTTGAAATCAAGCTTCTGTCCATTCTGGAACGTCTACTTTAAACCATTCAAGTGATACCCAGTGGATAAAATTAATTCTGCCCTATTTTTATTACATTTTACCTATGACTATTCTGATTCCCTCGAAGCGTCACTTAGTAAAATGGGGTGCTGATGCTGTTTTATGTTTTTAATGTTTCAGATATTCATTCATACAGTACTCTTCAGTATGTTTTGTTGAGTGAAGTAGTTTTGTGTTGTGATTTACTGCAGGCTGAAGATGGAGGTCATGAAGAGCAGCTGGTCTCCTTTGAAAAGTAAGTCTCAGTCCCTGTTTATGAGCTCCCAGCGCTGAGTAAAAGCATTAGAGCTGAAAACATTCTGCGTGTGTTTGTGTGTGCAGTAATGATGATTGGGGTAAGACCACCACTCAGACAGAAGACGTGGCCATAACAGAGGAGGACCTGGAGCTCATTAAAGAAAGAGAAACTGCCATTCAACAACTTGAGGTTAGTTTCCTCTTTTCCTGCCCGCACTGCCTGCCACACACATTCACACGTTCCATTCTTCCTCTTTCTTTTGCCTCATGAGTATCTGTGTTTGAAACAGAAAGTGCTGCAGAACTTAAACTACCAGTAAAAAGTTTGGAATAATTAAGATTTTTTAAAAATGTTTTGAAAGAAGTCTCTTTCAGTGCTCACCAAGGCTGGATTTATCCTATGAAAAATACTGTAAAAACAATGATATTGTGAAAAGTTACAATAAAAAAAACAACAACTCCTTTCTATTTTAATAATATTTAATAATTAATTTTGTCCGAAAATATATGGCGCGCCGCACTGACAGGACATTTCTATGTAGTAACCTTGCTCCTTGTTTTCCTTGTTTTATATTATTTAATAAAATAATAAATAATTATCGGCCTTAATTTTTCGGCCAAGTGCATCCATAAGTTTCTGTTTCGACCCAGAATTTTCATTTCGATGCATCCCTAATATATATATATATATATATTATATATAAATTTAATCCATTATTGCAAATTAATGCAAAACTGAATTTTCAGCATCATTACTGCAGTCTTCAGTGCCACATGATCCTTCAGAAATCATTCAAATATGCTGATTGCTGCTCAATTATCATCAATTATTATTAATGCTCAATTATTAATAATTCTTCTTCTTATTATTATTATTATTAATGTTGAAAACATGTTTTTGTTGCTTAATATTTTTGTAGAAACAGTGACATTTTTAGGATTTTATAGGATTATGTGATGAACAAAGTTTAAAAGAGCAGCATTTATTTGAAATAACTGACAGGAAAGACAAAGCTTTGATCAAGTTAATGCATCCTTGCTAAAAAAAACAAAAACTTTCTTACCCCAAATTGACCCTGTTTACACCTGCTGTTAACATATAGTGCATTTCTGTATTCATGAATTACACATTTGTGCTGTTGTCTGTAATTTTGTACCTCTACTGTGATTGCAGTCGGACATTTTGGATGTGAATCAGATTTTTAAGGATCTTGCAGTGATGATCCATGATCAGGGTGAAATGATAGGTGAGTACAATCTGTCTCTAATCTATACCAGGGGTGTCCAGCCCTGCTCCTGGAGAGCTACCGTCCTGCAGATTTCAGCTCCAAACCCCAGTCAAACACAGCTAATCAAGGTGTTCAGGGCTACTTGATGATGACAGGCAGGTGTGTTGGGGCAGGTTTGAAACCAAAGTCTGCAGGAAGGTAACTCTCCAGGAGCAGGGTTGGAAATCTCTGATCCACACCGCTGCTATTCATATGAGGATAATTCTGCTGAAAATGAAAATTCTGTCATTTATTCATGCATTATTTACACATCCTGCATGACTTTCTTCTTTTGAGCACAAAAGGCAATTTTTTAAAGAATATACTGGATGTTTTTCCCCATACAATTACAATTAAATATGGATTTGGAACAACATGGTGGTGATGGTGAAATGGTGGCAGAATTTTTTAATTAATCACAGTGTTTAAAATGTATTGTGCATTCAACAGGTTAAACCCTACAACGTTGTAGAATCAAGCTTACACTGTCATATTTGATATGCAAATTTCTAAGGCCTCTAAATTGTCAACATGGGGAAAAAAACATGTTCCTCTACTTTCAGGTCATGCTTCACATGTCTTTGTGCTGTGAAAACTTTACTTTTTTTAATTAAGTAAATATAACTTTTATATTGTTAGTAATATTTCAAGATGAACACTTACTGGACTGAAGCAATTTGGGTTTACTTGATTATCCATCCATCATTTTTAGAAAAATGTGTATATTTTTCCTGGGTTTAGGCCTCTGAATAAAATTGGTATGTTTTTTTTTTCCCTCCTCAAGTATGAGCTCCATATTCTCAACCATAAACACATGCAAACTTTTATTTATTTATTTTGTCTAAATGGAATAATAAACTGTTCCATTACATTCTGACTATTTCGTATTTTAGGCATTATAGGTTTAAATGTCTATATGACACGTCTGAGTTTGCTTTAGTGTCAAAGCATCTGAATCAAGAAATGCACTTAAATCAATATATGTAAAGAGTGTTAAACTGAGTATGTTCAACATAAGGTTGTCATATTGTCTAAAACCGCTTGTAATCTCTAATCTAAATGCAAGTAATATGTGTGATTACAGATAGCATAGAGGCTAATGTGGAGAGTGCAGAAGTGCATGTGGAGAGAGGAGCTGAGCAGCTCCAGAGAGCATCTCACTATCAGGTACAGGAAGAGCTTCAGCAGTACACACAAACACAGCTATGGCATTTTGTATCAAAAATGTGGCGAGATGTTAGAATTCAAAACCATGCATATAGCATACGTGCTATTTAATGATAATGACAATATTTTCTCTTTTTCATTGTAGCAAAAGTCTCGTAAGAAGATGTGCATCCTGGCAGTGGTCCTTGTCTTAGCGGTCGGCATTATCGCTATTATCATCTGGGCGTCGACAAAGTGAAGATCCTTCCTCTTCCTTTCCCCCTTTTCTCTCATTTCTTTCTTTAATTTATATTCTTGCTCGCAAACCCCGTGCCATCCACATGGGAAGGGAGGTCAAAGGCTCTCAGCAGCACCTGTAGGTCCATCTCTGTAGGTTTGCAGGGTTAGATACAGTATGAAGTGGCATAAGCGAATGTAACATTCCCTAGCCTCTTCCCTCCAGACCTTTAGTCATAATGAAGAAGGATGAGCTCATGGATGGGGTGGGAAAAAAATTATATAAGTGGTATAAAATTTCATTTTGATTCTTGATATATTTCTAGCACTAACACTACTTTACATTTCTTAATAAATCCAGGTTATTTCATTTTGAGAAGTTCATTGGAATGAGATGAGACATTTTGATGACTGAATTTTTTTTTTTTTTTACATCTTACTGTAATATAATTTTGGCTTTAGATGTCTTGTACAATGTACATTTCAACTCTTTCAAAGTTTTCAAGTCACTCCAAAGTTTGACAACAAACCGCTTAGATGAGCTGCAAAATTAATCGTATATTTGACATCATGTTGTAACCATAAACCAGTAGACTAGTAGAACTGCAGGTATGAAGCAGCAATGATACCTAAAGCTCAAACATCTCTGAACTTCAGATTCAATACTGTTACTTCAAAGTTTTATTATACAGGTCTATTATATGGTGGTCATATAGCTGTAAATGTGTTGTATAAGAACTCGTAATCGATATTATGGCTGAAACAGATTTGTATATTACATTAAAAGTCTGCACAGAACATTAAAATTATGTAAAAATAATTGCACCCATACTTTTAGAACATGCAAAAATTGTCTTTTTTCTTTTTTAAAAATTGATTTATATGAATTCTATGAGTACATGAGTAAAGAAAAATGTCTTAATCATGTCTGCCTTCCTGATTCTCTCTTAGAAATGTTGAAGCCACATTTAGCAGTGGTGAAATGAGCGCTGTTAATGTGAGCAGTCAGGATATGCTATATATTTCAGAAAGTACACTGTGTACACTATATCAGCCCAGTATTATCTGCAATCTGTTGATTGGCTCTAGTTGTGTGTGCTAATTAAAGTTCAGGCCTTTTATTACCCTCTAGGCTTACCATTAAAAATAGCCAGGCAAAACTTTGCCAGGCAACTAGTGCAACTGTTTTTGCTTTGGACGTGAATGAAACCACAAATTCTGTGGCTTGTTCAAGACATGGATCAGACCTAATCCAGAAATGTCATCTGGTGGACAATAATAAGAAGCTACCCAGAAACAACCAACTGGCACATTTTAGCAGCTGCATAAAAAGTGCTTAAAACCATTCAGCCAAACTCATAGCAATGCCCTGATTTCATGGCAAATGTAGTTGCTATATACATTCAGGTATGCATGTTCATAATAGAAATATTATAGACTCAACAGCAGATGTCAGTGTAAAACAAGTTTTTTGGGATTTAATAGATTGCCTCTACTGAGGTGAGGATATAACCCTCAGTACTGGCCAAGTATTGCTATCATGTATGTCTTTATTTGTCCTGTGCATTCTTTTATTTAGAACTGGTACTTTCATACTTGTTACAAAGTTACGTAGTATATTACAAAGCAAACTGCTACCAGTGTGATCATTTTAGAATTCCTTTTAACAACGTTCAGCTTTCCTTTGGACCTGAAATAGTAATGTAAGCTTAACTCTTAGAATTAAACACATATGCTTAAACCCAAATGACTTGCTGCCATTTAACGAAATGACTAACCTTTAATTCTTCTCATGATCTGACTCGATGTTAGTCTGACTGAGCCTCTGCGTGATCCCAGAGATCATGATGGATGTGTTGCTCATATTGCTGTGGTGAAGCAGTCAGTGGTTAATGCCAAGGAGCAGCTTGCCCTTTGCAGTCAAATGACTGATCTGATGGTTATGAAAACACTCACAGTTTTATTATATAAATTCTGTGTTATTCTGTTCTTAGTTTGTTTTCAGTGAATAATGAAATTCACAAAAAACAGTCATTACTCTGCAAACTATTAGTCTAGTATATGTCCAATGTGATCAAATTGGATGGATGTGATTACAGATCAAAGAGCATCTCCACTTGTCTAAATGATTGGCCCTGTTTGCAGTATTGGTCAGGTTAGCAGGTATGAACATGGTAAAATTCAAATGAAGCAGAACACAGGGCTGTGAAATGACGATACAGCAGGGGGAATTCCTGGCTTGGTTACATAGCTCTGTCTGCCGCAGGGAAGACCTTAATCAACCTTGTCTGAGATTTCCCATCAGTGCTGCTCATAGCTCATGTCCCTCATTTCATGCTCCCCATAGCTGGGCTGCATCCTCAAACGAATCCTGGAAATGGCGTGGGATTCATCAGGCTGGTTAATGGGTATGGATATGGTTCAAGACTTTGATATTCGGCTCCCCTCATGTGCATCTATTGCTTAATCTGGCTCCAAACCTCCAGCTGAGCTGTCACCATGAACCCAGTGTGCTCACTTGTTTGATCTACTTCAATGAGTGCACTAAGAACATCAGGCTTGTCTTTTCTGGAAATTCAGAACAGAGTATTCAGGACTTTAGTAACTACTGTAAGGTAGTAAACAGACAAAGGCTTTTTTCTCTTCCTCAATCTAGGCCAGTCCAATTCTGGTACCAAACTTGTCCAAATCCTATGTACTCTAAAGACATTCTCTTTAGCCCTGGACTTGGTTTGGACCGGAGCCCAAATCCTGGTACCAAACCAACCTCAAAACCTTGCTGGTCTTGATCAAGACAACCCATGATATAGATGGACAGAGCTTTCACAACAGACCAAGTCATGAGCCGGTTCTGAGGGAGTGCTGGCCCTGGCAGAGCACCGGCTCCAGCTCAAGCACCAGTGCCAGTAGAAAAGTGGTATACTTGTAAGGTAGTAAACAGACAAAGGCTTTTTTCTCTTCCTCAATCTAGGCCAGTCCAATTCTGGTACCAAACTTGTCCAAATCCTATGTACTCTAAAGACATTCTCTTTAGCCCTGGACTTGGTTTGGACCGGAGCCCAAATCCTGGTACCAAACCAACCTCAAAACCTTGCTGGTCTTGATCAAGACAACCCATGATATAGATGGACAGAGCTTTCACAACAGACCAAGTCATGAGCCTCAGAGGTTCTGAGGGAGTGCTGGCCCTGGCAGAGCACCGGCTCCAGCTCAAGCACCAGTGCCAGTAGAAAAGTGGTATTATACTTTCCAAAAAGTGACATAAAACAAAAAAGGTACTTCAGCATTCATGTAGTTTGCCTGACTACCATCTTTATGATTATATATAAAAAGGCCAAGGTCATCTTGGGCTCTTTGGATTCTGTCTGAAATGGTGAATCTGATATGTCTTGTTGCCGCCTTCATGCGCATTCATGAAATCAGCCAGACTGTAGGACTGTGGAGTGCACAGGGGAAGGCTGGAGGGGCTCGAGCCCCTGCCCCTTTAACTGCCAATGCTAAAGTGACCTTTTGGTCCTATCGAGGTGCCCCTAGAAATAGATTTCTACCGAGGGGGAGAAAAGTGCAATTTTTAATGAGGGCAACTACCCTGCAGAGTTTAGTTCCAAACCTAATCAAAGATGCATGAATAAGCTAATTTAGATCATAGTTACTAGAAAATTACAGGTAGGTGAGTGTAATCAGGGTTTGATCTAAACTTTGAAGGGATGAGGCCCTCCAGGGTCAGATTCAAGGAACCCTGCTGTAGGGTGTCTCATTTGCAGGGTGACTCTGAAGGTGTTAACAAGAGCCTTGTGTCTGGCTGCTATGTGTCCTCATTGCTGCAGACTCCAGTGGGCTACTACCCAACAGTCTATGCCAGGGATTTCAAACTCCTGTAGGGCCACATCCCTGCAGAGTTTAGCTCCCACTCTAATGTAACACACCTGAAGCAGCTAATCAAGGTTTTAGGATTACTTGAAAACTAAAGGTAGGTGTGTTGGAGCTGAACTCTGCAGGACTGTGGCCCTTCAGGAACACCCTTGGTCTAAGCAGTGACTTATGTGACTGAAGTGTGGACATGGTGGGCTGAGGGCAGCATTTAGGACCGGACCCTGGAGTGTTAACTGTTATGTTCATACTAATGCAGTGGTTCTTAATCCTGGTGCTGGGGACCCCTGCTCTGCACATTTTGCATGTCTCCCTTATTTAACACACCTGGTTCAGATCATCAGCTCATTAGAAAAGAGCTTCATGAACTAAACTGATTGTGTCAGATAAGGGAGACATAGGCTGCGTCCGAAAGCTCTAAAATGCTGTCTTTGGAGGACACATTCTAAGGTAGGAAGGCATCAAGGCACGTCCAAATCCAAAGTTAGCTTCACTTCCTGTCTCAAGAGATACCTTCATCTGATCGATTTTTGAAGGCAGCATAGATGTATCCTTCGCTGCCTTTGATATCCCACAATCCTGTGTGTTCCATTCCGTGACGGTTGAGCAACAAAATAACGATGGTGTCTGAAAGTTGCGTTTGGTGGTCAGTTTGTGTGTAAATGTATATTTCTGACTAGCTTTTTGCACTTTTGATGTTAGTTCTAGCGAGAAATCAGTATTATAATAATTAAATATTTGTTTAGTTACCACCAAAACTTGTTCTATTTTGTTGTAGATCATTAAACCATTACGTTGCCTCAGAAGCCTGTCTGAAATAATTTTCATGAGGTGCCTTCATGCAAAGTCATTATAAGCAGCTGCTCAGGCTTTCGGACGTAGCCATAGAACATGTGCAGAGTGGTGGGCATGCTTCGGCAACAAAGCCAAATCTGTCAGTAAGTTCTGTAGCACAGGGGGAGCCAACTCTGTTCCTGGAGAGCTACCTTCCTGCAGATTTCAGTTCCAACCCTGCTCCAACATACCTGCCTGTCGTTATCAAGTAATCCTAAACGCCTTGTTGGCTGGATCAGGTGTGTTTGCTTAGGGTCGAAGCTGGACTCTGCAGGATAGTAGCCCTCAGGAGCAGGGTTGGCTACCCCGCTGTAGCATAGTCTCAATTAATGCAGCATCTTATTTTGTCAATGATTATAATTGTGTTGGTGATTTTCAAATCCAGTATGACTTACTTTCTACAGAGTGGTTATATTTTTAACTGTTGTCAAGTTTACTTCAGGGTTCTCAACCCTGGCCCTTGAGGTCCCCTTTCCTGCCGAGTTTAGCTCCAACCCTAATCAAACACACCTGAACAAGCTAATCAAGGTCTTCAG